CCTAGATACCAGACTCACTGTTCCCTCCTCCTTCCCAATCAAACCGGCCTTTCCTCCCCTCAGTAAATGGCCCTTCTCTTTACACAGTGGCTCAAGCTGGAAGCTGGAGTCTTCCTGGCATCTCCCCTGCTGTTCCCCTCACCCCTTCACTGGTAAATCCTGTCAGCCCTGCCTGCAGGTAGGCTCCTGAGCCCAGACCCTCCTCCATTGTCACTGCTGGCTGCGTTCCAAACCACCCTCCTTTCCCCTGGCTGTCCTCACAGGCTCTGAGTGTTCTTCCTGCACTCAATCTGTTCTCACACAGCAGCCAAAAGATGGCTTAGAGACAGAGATTCTGTCATACCGCCTGCCCGTTCAGGACCTCTACACACTGTCAGCCTTCTCTCCTTATCATGGCCTTCAAGACCTCACACAACCTGCCTTGCTTGTTCTGTATTGTTTGTTTTTTGTTTGGTTGTTTGTTTGGTTTTCAGTGTTGCGCTATGTAGCCTAGGCTGGCCTTGAACTCACAGTGATCTTCCTGACTCAGCCTCCCAAGTGTTAGCGCTATAGATGTATGCCCTTTATCTATTTGAGATAGGGTCTCACTGTGTAGCACAGGCTGTCCTCAAACCTGTAATTCTCCCCCTTTTAGCCTCTTAAAATACATCTCCACTCACTGTGCCCCATTCCTCCTGTTCCTGTGACACAAGTCTTCTGTACTAGACAGTCTCATGGCAAGACTGTTTCCCTCCTCCATTCTATCTCTGCCCAGAGAGGTCTTTCCTAGCCACCTTACTGCAGTGCATGCACGCAGACACGAGGTCCCAGTACACTGTCTACTTTGCATCACCATGCCACTGCTTGGCACTGGACTGTGTGTTCTTTTGTCTATTTATTGTCCATACTCTCCATGAGAACAAGGACTCTGTGAGGGTAAGGCCATATCTGTCCCCTCCCCTACCGTACCTCCAGCTCCTAGACTAATACTAGACACACAGTTCTTGTTTGGTATCATTGTTCAATGAAGATGCTAATGAGTCTTCATGAGCACCACTGAAGGACAGGGCTGGCAAGATGACTCTGTGGGTCAGGGTGCCCGCCACCAAACCTGATGAGTTCTGTCCCTGGAGCCCACAGGTGAGAACTAACTCCCACTAGTAGTCTCATGGCCTGTACCACCCCCCCAAACACACACAAAATAAATAAAACATAGAAAAAATAGCAAGAAAGAATGAAATCCCAAGGGTAGGTGACAATATGCAAAGAGGGCAAAGCAAATTGAGGACCAAAAAGTCACTTTGAAGGAAGTGAAATTTTGGCTCCACTTAATGAGGCATGACGAGAACGCAATACACACTTGGGTCCCCAGCTGGGCTCATTTCTAGGCCTCAACCATGAGGATGTTTTCAGACAGCAACCCTGACTGCACCCCCAAATCCTACAAAGACAACGAAGAAGAAATTCTTCAGTCCAAGGAGTTGCTGTGCCCTGTTACCCTGGGGTAGTCCTTTAAAGGAGGCTCTAGGCAGGATCCTGAGGCCATTGCACTGCCTTGGGACTCTTGGGACTTGCCCCTGAGCTGGGACAAAGCAGCCGCCCCAGGATACCTTGGGAATCTGCATGGCTGCTTGTGGCTCTCCTTCAGAAGTCAGACTCAATGCTTAAGACAACGGTGAGATGCTGGAGAGTGGCCTCTTTTATTAGGTTCGCCCTCTTAGCTGCAGAGAGACCATAGTGCTTGCCCATAGCCCGGAATACTCAAAGGCCAGGGAGCTGAAAAGAGGGCAAGCCTTTAGGCCTCTTTGTCACCATTAATCCTGGTCCCTGCTGGTTTCTACCCTTTTGCATCAGAAAGGCTTTCTTGTATTTTTTTCCCCTTTTTTTAAGAGGAGGAGAAACAGCTGTGCAGGATTTGAGAATGGGATTTTAATGGTCACTGACAGTGCACAAAAGCTCTACTGTGATGGGGAAGTGTTCTGGGGGGCAATTGCCTCCATTGTCCAAGCGCAGCGACACAAGCAGGCCACTCAAGGGAAGAGAGAAGCAACTAGGACATGTTGAGGTCCCACCCCGCACACATGCGTGCACAGCGCTGTTCCCAGGCACCTGTCCTGACATGGTTTCCCTTGTGTTTACCTTGGGGAAGAAGCAAACATATTTGGAAGGTTTGCGGCATGAATTCTTTCCCTTGGTCTTACTATATGGAAGCTGTGACTGATCAGATGAGGTTGTATATGTGAAGCGGGCCTCTCGCTGTGGGGAGAAAGAAACAGGGCCTTCTTGACTGTGGGCAGCCCTTTGATCACTTAGGAAATCCCAGTTGATATGGGATGACTTGAGGCCTCTTCAAACAGAACCTTGGCAAGGACTGGGGGTGGGTAAATAGCTCCAAGGTGGAGCCTCATGTGGACAGTCCTGTGTCCATCTGGTACCCTGTTCAGTGAGACACGGGTCTAGGCCTGAACATGTGCACCGTGTTTTCCGCTAGAGGAACTGGCGGTGCCAATCCCATCGCTCTGCCTCTTCATGAGGATTGACTGTGCTGCTGAGATCAGTTATAACCTGGGTGTCTGCTACCAGCTCTTCCTCCAGTGGAAATGGCTTAGGCCAGAGGCACTCTGGACAGACTAGCACTGGTTTGATTTCTGCCAGCCTCCATGACCACTCGGCTGGAGAAATCCATAGAAGAGTTATTCTCATGAGACATGGGCTAGAAGCAGTGCAGTTGTAGAAACCATCGTGCAACAAGGCTGTGTGCAGAGATTAAGTCTGAAATATAGACACTGCCACGGGAATGCGCATCCTGCTCGTTATGGCATTGAGTGCCAAGGAAGCAAGGAAGGTTTGCATTTAGGATTTCAGTTATAACAAAATTATAAACTCTTTGGGGGCTGGAGAGATGGCTCAGTGGTTAAGAGCACTAGCTGCTCTTCCAGAGGACCCAGGTTTGATTCCCAGCACCCACATGGTAGTAACAACCATTTGTAACTCCAGTTTCAGGGGGCTTGACTCCTTCTTTTGACTTCTGTAGGCACCAGGCACACACATGGTGTACAAATATACATGAAGGCAGAACAGTTATACACATAAAATAAAATCTTTTTGAAAAATCACAAACTCATAAAAACAACCCACAAATATTTTAAGACAAAAATGTAAACAATACCAAAAAGTGTTAAGATTTAAATGAATATAGATATTATTGGTTAAGAACATCTAACCGTAGTAATAATACCTGAAATGTTGCATAGCCTCATTCTGATGAAAATAAAAACCTCATTTTAAACAATATTTTTGAGAAAATAATGAAAAATGGGTAATAAACAATTTTTGTTTGTTTTTGAGACTAGGTTTTGCTCTGTAGGCCTTGAACTTGATATGCAGACTAGGTTGGCCAGATCTGTCTGTCTCTGTCTCCTGAGAGTTGGGATACCTGGCACTGAATGATTAATTAATTACTGATGACATTGTTTATCTTGTATAAACCTAAGATTCTCTATGCAAACTGCACTTCTAGGATGGGAAGGAGATAACACCTCTTCAGACAGTTGAGGTGTGTTATAGTCAACTTTGTCCTATGGCTCTCTTTTCTGTTTCCTGGAAGATTTAAGTTTTAAAAAGAGCATGTTTGTTCTAGTCAGACCCTTATCTACCTAACAAAGTCCTGAGCTTTTGTCTCCTCTCGTGTGAAGTACTCTCTTCCTCTCCTAAGTCAGAGTCCAAGGTGCTAACCATTTCACCAGGGAAACGCCCTCTTAGATTCAGAACTCTAAACCTTGCCAAAGATGTATTCCACAGAGAGGCTGTGAGACTTTGGACCAAGTTATTTAGCCCCTCTTCCTAGGTACTCTTCCTGTAAACTAGAGCTAATGGTGTCACCTGTTCTCCAGGGTTATGCTAAGGAATACATGGCATATTACAGATAAAGTGTCTGGCATGTCATGTACACAGTAGGTGCTTAATGTCAGCTACATAGAAAGGCTATTCAGGGGCTATAAGGATGATGCTTGACTGTTGAAATATACCACACTGGGTATATTTACTTCACTTTTGTGCCGTAGAACAGGGCATAAATCCTTATTTAACTAGCACCATCAGACTCTTGAATAAACTAGCAATCAGAAGCATAGTCATGAATTTTCTTATTGCTTATTCTTCTGGAACATTTACAAGGGTTTATGCTTTGGAATGCATTTATTGCACATCTGAAGTATGCTGTTTAATGAGACCCTCAAGACCTTACCCATGCAGTGGCTGAAGGAGGAGCTTTAGAAAACACAGCTTCTGATGGGTTTCCTCCTTCCAGTGCCCACTCCCTGCCACCACCAGGAATAAAATTCCAATGTCTGGAATTCCGGGACTTCTTTTACCTTTCCTCATCTCCCTTTCCCTTTGTTCCAATATGCCATGCAAGAACCTCTGAGACAGCCTATTTCTACTGGGGAGATCCTATCCATCCTTCAAGTCCTGACTCAAATATGACTTCCTTTAGGAAGCCTTGTAGGATGCTGCTAGGCAGAGTTCAGAACACCTTCCTGGGAGCTGGACCTGTATATAGCTCAGTGGGAGAGTGACTAGCATATGTGAGGTGTAGGCCCAATCTTTGATTCTTCCAGGTGAAACACACACATACACACACACACACACACAGAGACAGAGACAGAGACAAATGAGACAAAAAATGAGTAATTTTCACCTTTTTACTCTTTTGATAGCCCTGTAAACTCGAACATCCCAGATGTTAAACAAACAAACAAACCAGAAACCCTACCAAACATTCCACCAAATGCTTCTGCACTAAATAAGGTTCCTATGGTCCTGGATGACTGGTCTAAGGAGGTATAGACCTATTAGATCAGGGGTGGTGATAGGAACCCAGAAACGGTGCACACTTTATCTTTAAGGGATTTGCTTGGGGAGTGTGGTCCATCTTCATCTTAACACCTTCATCTCTACACTAACATCATGCTTCCTCAGCCTCTGTCTCACACTGACCAGATTGTCCCCCCTTTGGCTAGTCAGTTGCAGAGCTGGGACGTATTATGATGGATCACAAGAACGCTGCATTTTATGTCCAAATGGAACCTTCCAAAATGAGGAAGGACAAGTCACTTGTGAACCATGCCCGAGACCAGAAAATCTTGGGGCTCTAAAAATCTCAGAAGCCTGGAATGTATCTGAATGTGGAGGTAAGGGTTCTGTCTGTCTCTTCTTGTTCCTTTAACCCCCACTGTCATTGACTCGGGACAATGCACACTAGACCTTGGTCTTCCTACAAGCAGAGACCATGGTGGGCTCATTATTAGTTCTCTGTTGCTTGGGTCAGCACCTGACCCATGGGGCTGATGCCCATATGAGCAAATGCATAAAGATAGGGACACAGCTCTGTTGGAAGAGTTTGAGCTCCAGTACTGTATTAACGGGGCATAGTAGTGGACACTTGTAATCCCGGTACTTGGGAGGTGGAGGCAGGAAGATCAAGAGTTCAAGGTTATCTTTGACTGTATAGTGAGCTCGAGGTCAGCCTAGGCGACATGAGACCCTGTCTTAAAAAATAAGGACAAAAAGATGGGGAAGATGTTGGTAGAACAATATAAATGTTACACTTATACGCTTTCTTCACTCTGAAAATATGCACACCAGAGACCTCAGTCATTGCTTGGTCTAAAGGGCCCTGGTTAAGCAAAATGGGTCACAAAACAATATTGAAACATGTGAATCTAGAAAAGGGACAGGTAGTGATAGGGGAAGGATGGAGAGAAACTTGAGCTGGAAAAGAGTAATTAGAATACATTGGATATGTGCTGATACAAAATTAATAAAAAATAATTGGAAAAACCCAAATAAATAAATAAAAAGTAAATATAAATCAAATCCAAAAATAACCCCCCAAATCCCACAAATCAACAACATATGGGATTTGGGTAGGGTTGCAAGAGAGACTCTATAGAGCATCTTGTTAAGGCCAAGCTGTTTCCTAAAGAACAGAGCTTCTGGGAATCTTTCACTAATGTCTTCCTCCTTTCCTGATCTTGAGAGGGAAAAAAGCAACCATGCTTAAAGCCAGTGTCGCTGGGTCCTTCTGTCCATGTGGGGTGAGTTTTTTGGGTTTGGTAGACTGATTGTAGTAGGTCAGGACATACCTCAGTGCATGGAGATGCAACTGAGAGATGGTGAAATGGGAGACTCTAAGTCAGTTCATACAGTTTCTAAGTAAGGTTGGGCTTCTGTGTGTAATCACCAGATTGACTCCATAGCAGAGATGGAGTCTCATGTCCCTCACTCCATTCTCACCCTAAGCCCACCCCATTACAAGGGATGCCCGGGTAGGGTGCAGGCCAAGGCGCCACACATATTAGGCTTTTCTCATACTAGAAGCAGATAGCATGACCTCTTGGTGCCCATCTTTGGACTATGTAGGCGTGTGTTCAAACCTCAGGTACTTGTCCACCTCCTCCTAGGGATCCTGGTGAGACTGGCTGGGTGCTTCTCACTGATGTGTGAGCTGAAGTTAGCATGGGGTATCAGGCCTCACAAAGGCCCATCACTTCTGCAGAAAGGTGGGGAATGGCCTCCCTGGGGAGCCTCACTCACCCAGAGCCGTTACTCCCTGCAGGCCTGTGTCAACCGGGTGAATATTCGGCAGATGGATTTGCCCCTTGCCAGCTCTGTGCCCTGGGCACTTTTCAGCCTGATGTGGGCCGGACGTCATGCCTCCCATGTGGAGGAGGTCTTCCTACGAAACATCTGGGAGCGACTTCCTTCCAGGATTGTGAAACCAGAGGTGAGCACTTGCTTGCCTCTTTCTGGAGCTTCTCTTCTGGGTTCTGCAGGGTCCGAGCTGCCCCTGTGGTAGGGTTTTAGGTCTCCCCAGCCACCTAGGCTGCTCACACAGGTCTGATGAGTGGGCAGCAATGAGCAGGTTATACAAACAGACCTCTAGTCCTCCTGTAACTCAGTGTCCTAGTCTAGCTGCTCCCCCAGCACCCCCATTCAGTCCTCCCAGCCCCCTCCAGATTCCATTCCCTGCCTCTCCCAAGGGAAGCCCAAGTCAGCCTCGGTCTGTGCCCGCGTTGTTCCCACCCCAAAGATTTAAGAGGTGACCACTCCTGCCTGGCCGCCTGCATCCAGTGCATTTTGAATATTATGAATCCCTCTCACTCTGGCTATTGAGGGAATTGTGTTAATTAATCCCAGCTTGCCAGGAAAGCAGTGTTTCATCTAGGCATAATATTTTATTTCGTAAACCTTGAAGCATTTGATTAAAAATAGTCTTTTCTCTTCACAGTTCAATGTTCGCCTGGGCATTTCTACAACACCACCACACACCGATGTATTCGCTGTCCACTGGGGACGTACCAGCCTGAATTTGGAAAAAATAACTGTGCTTCCTGCCCGGGCAATACTACCACTGACTTTGATGGCTCTACCAATATAACACAGTGTAAAAGTAGGCTTTTCTCTAAGGTGTTTCATAGGCTGGATCAGACTTGGGCAGGGGTGTGAGGAGGTGGTGGGGTTCCAGGTTCATTCGGGATTGCATGCATGAGGTTAGCCCCACTCATAGCTAAGTGGGCCAGTGCTATGGGAGAGACTGCAATGTCTTGGCTGTTAAAATGGGAGCTATAGCTATGACCAACAAGTACTCCCCTTTTTTATATGTGTGGAACAGGGGATTGAACCAGGTGCTTAAAACAATATACCCTGCATCCCCGAGGCCCACTCCAGCTACCTCCTACACTTACAACTGTACCTTTCCCTGCAGGATAGTTTTAGTTCAACCTAGCTCAACATGCATTGTCTGAGTCCTGCCCTGTTCCCAGCATCCTGCTATGTCAGCCTGGCCAAGCTGCCAGGAAGCAGTCTGTAGGACTGCAGAAGGAGCATGTGATTGGTCTCTGGAGGAAAGGTCTTTGGAGGGCATGGAAGGAGGATGGAGCAGATAGGAGAGAGCTTCATGTTGCAGACAGCGCTCAGGAAAGCCAAGGCTTAGGCAAGCAAAACTCCTTCTGGGAGCAGAAGAGCTAGCAGGCCAGGAAAAGGAGGCCTTGGGGCCCTGCTAGAGTGTGGTTTGTAGTTTCAACAATGGGGGAATGAACCATTTAAGGACTTGCTAATGTGGGCATTTCCTGCATTACCTGATATGTGAAATTCTACAGTAAAGGCCAAAAGTAGAGCTCCCCTAATAGTGACCACCATCTAGGCTGGTGAGGAGGCCTCCCCAAACTGGAGAAGCTTGGGGTTGACAGGAGCATCGAACCAGTGGAGTTTTATGGTTAAAAGGTTAACTAGCTTTCTCTGCTGGGCTGCTTTTTATTTGTTTGTTGTGTTTTGTTTTGATTTCTGTAGTGGGGATTGAAACTAGGGCCTCGTGCATGTGAGGCAAGAATTTTACCACTGAGCTACAGTGTTAGCCCCAAATGTCATCTCGTCTCAATGTAGTTGTGGCCATAGACACTCGTCTTGAATACATGCTTTGACAGCAGTCTCACTACTATCCATGAGAGCCTCATCTGTTGGTAGACTAGACTTTGGAAAGATTTACAGTGTTAGGAAATTCTTCCATATACCAAGATGACTCTGTTCCTAGTCTTCCCACTTCCTGGGCTTTGGCTATCTGTCAGGAGCCCCAAGTCCCTCAGGCAACCCTGAATGCCATGACTCTCCTTTCTCCTTTTCCTCTCAGAAGAAAAGCCTAGTAATTTTTTTGTTTACTACTGTTAACTCCAAGTTATAGTTACAGACAAACCACTCCCAATTTCTCTTGTACAGGTTTACCCGATGGTATTAAACAGTAAGTTCCCTGAGGAACTCCTTACTATGCCTGTATCTAAGCTCCAGATCTCTGGGTGACATGTGGGGCTCATTGCCTGACAATAGAGCTGAGGCAGTGAGCATGTACCCATGAGCTCTTTTCTGAGTGCATCCAATAGTTAATTGAAACTTCCTTCTCTATTGAAAAGTAAAACACAAAGAACAGTGAAAAAAAGTTGTCTTATCTTCATCAAAGCTCTTGGTCAAATATTCTCTGCTGAGCTGTGAGCTGTGTTCTGAGGTCAGGGTTATGTTCCCCTGATATGTAGGATGGTAAACAAAATAGCAAAGATGAAATGTGTCGAGCTCGGCGTCTTCAGGCTAGCCTGGTAAGCTGCTCTGGGGAGTCCATGCTGCTTGGCCCCCACAGAGGCCATGAGTACTATGGGATGCAACAGGGAGTCTTCGGTTCTTGGCTACCCTTGGGGTGGCTACAATTGCAATGACAGTGTTTTGCCCTCCTAATTCATGACACTTCCTTTCCAGACACAAAGTGTGGAGGGGAGCTGGGGGATTTCACAGGGTATATTGAGTCCCCAAACTACCCTGGGAACTACCCCGCCAACTCGGAGTGCACCTGGACCATCAACCCACCCCCTAAACGTCGTATCCTGATTGTGGTCCCCGAGATCTTCCTGCCCATAGAAGATGACTGTGGTGACTACCTGGTGATGCGGAAAACTTGTGCGTCTCTCCCTGGGCTTCCCTTCCATCCCAAGGCAGCCTGGGAAACCTGATTCCACCCCCACCCCCAGCTTTAAATGTGAGGAACAGGTCTATTGGATTTTTTCCTTCATAGTAGAACAGAGACAGGACATGAGTTTATAGCCAAGTGGGGCTGACTTGACATTGTTCACTCAAGGTAGCAGCCCTAGGCCAAAGGCATAGTGCAGCCAGGAAGGAAGGAAGGCCCCTCCTGTCATCCTGAGCCAGCTTCTGGTGTCTATAAAGGGATGCTACCATCACTGCAGCTTGATGACAGAGATGAGAGTGGGCTCAACCCCAGATTCACCTCCTTCTGGGTCTATGGTCTCTGGTGGACATTCTATTCACTATAGTCTGGGGTGGGGGGCAGGTTGGAGAAATGGCAGCCGCTGCCTTGTTTGTCTGCTGAGGGCAGGTGGGGCTTACTTAGCCTTTCCTTGGGGTACAGTATAACTCCCCCCAATCTTCCAGGGCTTTCTACTATTGGGATAAGCCTAAAAGCTCTGTGTGAGTGAGTGTGTGAGTGAGTGTGTGTGTGGGGGGGTAGGTACTTGTAGAGGCTTGAAGACAACCTCAGTTGTCATTCCTCAGATGCCATCCATCTTGTTTTGTGGGGCAGGTTCTCTCATTGGCTTGGTGCTTATCAAGAAGGCTAGACTGGCTGGGCAGCAAACCCCAGGGGTCCCTGTGTCTCAGCTACCCCATGACTACTCTATCTGGCTTAAAAAACAAAAACAGAAAACAAAACATGGGTTCTGGATACCAGACTCAGGTCCTCATGTTTGCAAGGAAAGCACTTTACCAAGGGAGCTGTTTCCCCAGCCCAACAGTTCTTGAGCTTAACTTACTGTGTGGGTTAAGTGTTTTCAGCGTTTTCCTGACTGCTGGCTCCTTGACACCTCTTGAACACCACCTCCTCCAACTTCCCTTGGCAGCTTCATCAAATTCTGTGACCACATATGAAACCTGCCAGACCTACGAACGCCCCATCGCCTTCACCTCCAGGTCAAAGAAGCTGTGGATTCAGTTCAAGTCCAATGAAGGGAACAGTGCCCGAGGATTTCAGGTCCCCTATGTGACATACGATGGTGAGCAAGAGTGTGACGCTCGGGCTGCTGGGTGGTGTGGCTCTGCTCTGAACGGAAGGAATTGGCTTCTAGCTAGCTGCCAGACGCTAACAAGCACACCCACTCAGCCAGCCAGGCAGGGCAAGGCAAAAGGACATGGCTGACTCACTGGGCCACATTTTAAAGAGACATTTGGGCACACTTCCTGTAGGAATGAAAAGGAACAGTCTAGAGAATACAGGGAACATGAGTAGAATCGGGTGTGGGAATGTGGCTGCTGAGGTCAGACAGCAGGCTATCTGTTCCAGGACTTGTAGGTTACTTATCATCTCGAAGTCTTGTTTTTTTCATTCCCAGTGGTGACTGAACCCAGGGCTTCTAACAACTCTGCGCTACACCTCTAGTAAAGCTGCTCTCTCTCTCTCTCTCTCTCTCTCTCTCTCTCTCTCTCTCTCTCTCTCTCTCTCTCTCTCTCTCTCCCCCCAAGACAGGGTCTCTCTGTGTGGCCCTGGCTGTCCTGGAACTCACTCTGTAGACCAGGCTGGCCTCAAATCTCACAAAGATCCTTCTACCTCCCTCTGCCTACCAAATGCTGGGATTAAAGACGTGCATCGCCATGCCAGCAAGCCATGTTTTCTTAATGATGAAGAAAATCATTTGAATGAACATTAAGAGTTTAACATGGGACAGTTCCTGGCGGATAGGAATTGCTCAAAAGTATATTGACTTTTGCAGGTTGTGACATTTATTAGATTGCTCCTTAGAAGAGGAAGAGGCTTAACTCCAGGCCCTGCCCTGCTTTTGACACTGTGATCTTGGGCAAGTTAGATGATGTTTCTGGATCCTCTGATCTCTGGAGACTTACTTAAGACTCTGAGACTTGGTCAACAAATACTTATTGTGACCAGAACACCAAAGTGTGTATTTTGCCATAGGTGCTTTTACAGGGCACGTACAAAGTTCTTGGAGTGCAGAGGAGGAGAAAGCAGCAATTATTCTGAAGAGGCTTGGAGGGAAAAATCAGTTTCAAGAGGTCTGGGTCTTGAAAGAATATGTAAATTGGGTTGGGACATAAATAGAGTGGAAGAACATTCAGGAAGAGGGCAAAGGATAGAGCATGTAGCCCAACTGGGTCTGACTTGGCCAGTGGGTAGGGAGCACAGGGGGACAAATGAGGAAGGGTTAGCAGTGAGTAGCCAAGCTCAGGAGAGTAGGCTTAATTTTACAGGGGGTCGTTAAAGATTTCTAGGCAAAGGACCTTGGCTTTCCTAACTTCCTTCCTTCCTTCCTTCCTTCCTTCCTTCCTTCCTTCCTTCCTTCTTCCTTCCCCCCCCGCCTCTCTCTCTGTCTCTCTCTGTCTCTCTCTCTCTCTCTCTCTGTCTCTCTCTCTCTCTCTGTCTCTCTCTCTGTCTCTCTGTCTCTGTCTCTGTCTCTGTCTCTGTCTCTGTCTCTGTCTCTGTCTCTGTCTCTCTCTGTCTCTCTCTCTCTCTCTCCCCCTCATTTTCCAAGACAGGGTTTCTCTGTGTAACAGCCCTGGCTGCCCTGGAACTCACTCTGTAGACGAGGCTGTCCTCCAACTAACAGAGACCCACCTGCCTCCATCTCCTGAGTGCTGGGACTAAAGGCGTGTGCCACCACCACCAGGCTACATAGTTTATTTCTAACACGTGACAAAGACTAGACTCTCATTCTGCCCTGAAGTTGCTTCAATAATATGTAATGCCCAGGACAAGGACTCTTGGAATCTGATGTCTGGGACTCTGTTGAAAGAGACACTGAGCCTAGCTCCTGCCTGGAAGCAGATGTCTGACAAGTTCTCCTGTCTGAAGTCAGGGAAGAAACCAAGCAGACCTTAGGACTTGGACAAATGTTATCAAGGCATTGAAACATTTTCATACATTACACTTCATTGTGCCTTTGTGAAATATATAAATGCCCCCCACTTTTAAAGAATAATTATTTGTATTTTATGTCCATTGGTGTTTTGCCTGCATGTATGAGGGTGTTGGACCATCTAGAACTGCTGTGAGCTGCCGTGTAGGTGCTAGGATTTGAACCTGGGTCTTTGGAAGAGCAGCTAGTGCTCTTAACCACTGAGTCATATCTCCAGCCCCCTAAATGTCCCTTTAACATGTTTTTTATTTAATTTTATTTTATGTACATTGGTGTGAGGGTGTCGGGTCCCCTGGAACTGGAGTTACAGACAGTTGTGAGTTCCCATGTGAATTCAGGGAATTGAACTCAAGTCCTCTGGAAGAATATCCAGTGCTCTTACCTGCTGAGCCATCTCTCCAGCTCCAAATGTCCCCTTTTTAATGGAAAAAATATGAAAACGAGGGGCTGGAGATATAGTTCAGTTGGTAGACTGTTTATATAACACGCATGAAGCCCATGCTCAACCTCCTAGCTCTGTATAAGCCAGGTGTGGTGACACTGCGATCCTAGCAGAAGCTGGCAGGAATGGGTGAGGTGCAGATGACAACTGCAGATGAATGCATTCTGCAAGCGAGAGTCATGGTGACAGCCATTGGGCATTCCTGAGCACCAGGTATGCACCACAGTGCCTTTTATGGGGCACGTTCCTCATGGTCACCCCATGCATCGGACCGGGTCACTTTCTGATGTAACAGATGAGGCCACTTGCTGAGAGATTTAAATAATTGACCTGAGATCATGACATGGCAAAGTTGCAGAACTGGGATGACCCAGGTCTAGGGACTTCAGAGCCTGAGTTCTTACCTGTGAACTTCTCTGTTTTTGAAAGGCAGAAGAAAGACAGGAAACACAGAAGCTCTTAGAAACAGTGTGTGTGTGTGTGAGTGAGTGTGTCTGTGGTGTGTGTGTGTGTGTGTGTGTGTGTGTGTGTCTGTGTCTGTGTCTGTGTTTGTGTCTGTGTCTGTGTGTGTTTTAAAGACAACATTCTGGAAACATTTGGTATAATGGCAAAGCATGGTCTCGTTTTCTGTTATACCAGAGTGCACAACAACCTGCATTCCTAATAGTAGATTCCCTTTATGGAAAGAAGCCAGACCTCTGAGGTTCAGACACTGAACAAGGGTATAAAACTAATACTAAAGTAAGCAGGGCATGGTGGCACATAGCTGTAATGCAGTATTTAATGGGTAGAGGCAGGAGGATCAGGAATTCGAGGCCAGCTTTGGTTACATAACAATTTTAAGGCCAGCCTGGTCTACATTAGACCTTATTTTAAAGAAAAAAAAAGAAAAAGAAATAAAACTTATTCTCTTGATTTTGTTTTATTTATTTGGTCTTCGCTGTTGATGTGTTTGTTTTGAGACAGGGCCCTATAGTTCACAAAGTCACCATGTAGGCCAAGCTAGTCTTGAACTTGTGTACTTACATTATCTATTTATTAGAATGAAAGAGTAAGGACAAAGTTGCCACATCAGTAGTAGCGATGATGCTGTGTGTGTATCAGATATTAATTATGCACTGATGTTGTTCCTTCACCATCTCTGGATGGAAGAAACTTCTTGGGAACTCTTCTATGGATGCTCTTATAAGTCATGTGGCTTCTCAGCACATGTTATGCATACAAAAAGGCAATTTTTGATGTGTCTTGGCATTGGAGAGAACTGTGCTCTGCATATGCTTTTTTGAGTTATGACAATGGGAAGCAGGCTAGACTTCAAAGTGGGGTGAAATTACATTTGGAGAAGGAATACTGTGTGCACTGAATTTAATGTGTATGCCAGGACCAAAGAAATGATTAACGAGAAAGCAAGAAGGTTATTCTTTCTCAGATAGTCAAGTTCTCCATCCCCAGCCCTATTCCCGCTGAAGAGAGAAGAGGTTTTCTGGTGATCAGGAGCCTGGTTACCTTATACAGTGCAAGGGCAGGAAGATAGCTGGGATGGGCAGGTGTTAAAGAGGGAATGAAAAAGCCCAGATGAGCTCACAGTGGAGGGAGCACACATAGGAGCAGATCACCAAGCACAGAGCCCTAAGGCCCTCCTACAGGAAAAGGCCAGGGACAGGAGGAGAGCAAAAACTCCCCAAGAAGCATCCAGTGAAGCAGTGGGAAACCCAAAGTGCAGAATGTTCTAGGAGATGAGAGAGGAAGTGAATGAAGGAGGAGGGTGACCAGTCAGGTCATTGCTACTAATGCATGAAGAAAACCGAGGACCGACATTTGACACTGGGACACACAGCACGAAGCTCATTGCTGGCCTCGGGAGGTAGCGTTGGAGGAGTGGTTGGGGCAAGACTGAGCCCAGTGGGTTCAGGAGAAGAAGAAAAGCCCAGTTGTAGACTGTGTGAGCTGACTCTGCTCTGGGAGCAAACGGGAAGAGAGACATGGGATGGAAACTAGCAGGACAGATGACGTTAAACAAGGCATCCTTAAGGTCGGTTTTTGTGCTAATGGGAGTTAGTAGAAAGGTTTTCGCGTAGGGAAAGTGTAGAATAAGCATCCTTGATTTGGGGAGGGAAGATGCACGTGGTATGGGAGGTAGAGGATGGGTCTTGACTGAAGGCACAGAAGACTTTTCTGAGGGAAGGGGAAGGAGGCAGGGCAGATGCCAGCTGAGTGGAGGTGCTGAATGTCTTCTCGTTGTCAGAATGGAAAGTTCTCCGAGAGCAGCCACTGATGGAGGACTTCTCAGGGGTTATTAAAGACAGAAGTGTGGGTTTGGAAATAATTATCAGTGAGAAGCAAATGTGTCCTTTATTTCAACAGAAGACTACCAGGAACTCATTGAAGACATAGTTCGAGATGGCAGACTCTATGCATCTGAGAACCACCAGGAAATACTGAAGGTGAGTACCTGCCTCAGCAGACAGGAAGGTAGCCGTGAGCTCCCACATACAGCCCTGCCTTCCAGACACTGAGCCTATGTGGACCAAGGCCAGCTCCATCCTTTCCCATGATTTAATTTTGTTAAATGTGAAGTTTCTATGGCTAGTGTTTATATGTGTATATATATATATGTGTGGGGGGGGTGTATGAGTGTTTTATATATATGTATATCATATATATTTGAGAATTTTATATATAATGTATTTTATATACACAATGTATTTTATACATATATACAATGTAGTTGATCTTATCTAGCCTTCCCCCTAACCACTGTCAGACCCTACTCAAGGCATTCCCTTACCAATTTCATGTTCTCTCTCTTTTTTTAAGTAACCCAGTGAGTCTAATTAGTCCAACTGTAGTGCATACAATCAGTGTATGCGCATGGCGGTAGGGCCAGCCGCTGGAATATGGGTAATCTGTTAAGGACCATACCTCTGAAAACTGAGTCTCTCTCCTGCAGCAGCCCTCAACTAAGGGTGAGGCTTTGTGAGCTCTTCACCCACCCATCCTGGGCTGTGGCTTGATCTTGTACTGGTCTTATGCCGGCAAACAGCTACTGGAGTTCATGAGTGCAATCTATTTACATTGGGCATTTGTGGAGGGGCAGGTGTGGCAGGTGCTTGTTTACAAATCCCAGTCAGGGGCATATAGTGCTTTTATGTTCAGCTTGAATAGTGAAAGACCATTGGTTCCTAGTTTATAAACTCAAAGCCCACCACATTTTAGATACTTGTAAGTAATTAATAGGAAATACTCACCTATCACTAACCCTAAACCATTTTCCAAATTTCTATGTTGTATCTCATACAGTTGAGAAACAAGTTTTCATATGTCAAAAATTTTCATAAAGTAATACATACTTATTACTAACAATTAAGAAAAATTAAAACTGGAAAGAAGATAAAAATCAGTGGAAACAATTTTCACAAAGTGTTTTCTAGCTAGTGAACCTCCCTTCAATAGTGAGTCATTATGATTCCATTGGCAAAATGCCAGAATGTTTGAGTGCTTTGGCCTCGTAACAAAAATTCTCTTCTCTTCAGGATAAGAAACTGATCAAGGCTCTGTTTGATGTCCTGGCACACCCCCAGAACTATTTCAAGTACACAGCCCAGGAGTCCCGAGAGATGTTTCCAAGATCTTTCATCCGATTGCTACGTTCCAAAGTGTCAAGGTTTCTGAGGCCTTACAAGTGACTCTTCCCGCGTGCCACTCAGAGCAGTGTCCTACTGTGGACTCCGTGGGCTGCAGCCCAGCATGCCATTGGGCTGTCATCATGCCCACTCTCGACTCCGCACTGTTGAGGTTTTATAGACAATACAGATAGGTTGGTAAACTGAACTTGGGTTTTCTTCTCCAGCTTCAGCTGTGGACTACATACAGCTTTGAGCAGCACCAGCTTCTCATTGTGCGGGGGTGTGTCCTGGATGTGTCGAGGGCCAGCTCTACTGGCCTCCCTCTGGGCTCTCACTCCTCCAATGGTCTGTAGTGGAAAGGAGGCCACAGAGGGGCCACTCAGGCGGCAGCTCCACTCCCTCAAGACCAGTCCTCTCCCAGGGAGCATCTGTTCTCATGCACAGGTGACCAGGCCGCCAAACAGGCAAGCAGGAGGGGAAGCAAGCACTCCAGGAGCCACCCAGGCCATCTGAGTCATGGGAGGGTTCCCATCCTCTCAGCCTCTAAATGTGTGCGTTCTGAGCAGTGGTGATTAAAAAAAAAGACTAGAATGAACGAGAAGTAACAAGGCAAGTGTAGCCCCTCTTGGGCCGTCAGTAGTGTGCATGCACACATAGCAAAGGCGGAGGCTGGTTGCAGCAGTGTCCCCCGTGTCTTCAGTCAAACTGAGCACTGCTGGAGCTTGGAGAACTCTCGGATGCGAGCCTGATGGAAAGGAGACTTCACCAGCCCAAAGTCAGTGCTGCCGGACTGCCCCCGGTGCCAGGAGTGACTGGCACAAGTGCCTTCCTTTTTCAGTCTCCCAGAGTGAAGCAGTCTGAGATGAAGTGGCATCGTCCAGGGCACTGTCATCCTCTGATGGTGAGCCACACACCTGTTCACGGGCCACAGTTGAGTCACTTTGGTCTGCATAGTGGGACTGCATAGTGATCCCCTCCCAAATAAACTTTACTTTTCAATATAATTGGGTTTTTAAACACTTTAACCCTTACCTCCAGCAGGCAAAAATCTCACTACAGTGGATGAAGAAAAGATCCTATGGGCCAGAGATGTGCAAGGCCCTGGGCTTGGCCCTCGATACCATTTCCCCCCCACAGAAGAAACCTGTCAATCTGGCTTCCCTCTCCCTAATGGACATACTGATTACATATAGCCATAGAGTTTTGTTCTTTCTGTGGCAATTATAGCACATAATTCTGTATACCAAAGTACTGAAATGTTTAATAAGGATTTTTAAAAGAAAACGGAATATTTCAATATTATTAGACCTGTCTTTCCACCTCAATGTTGTTTTTAATCTATTAATAACATTTTTATTTTGAGACAGTGTCTCACTATATAGTGTCTCACTACATAGCCCTGACTAACCTGTGATCTGTATGTAGACCAGGCTGGCCTCAAACTCACAGAGCTCCACCTGCCTCTGTCTCCCAAATGCTGGGATTGAAGGTGTGCACCACCATTTCTGGAGACATTGACATTTATAGGCCCTCATGAACTTTTAATTTTTATTTGGATGAAATTTCTCTTCAAGAATTTGTGCATCTTGCTAGGCACAGTGGCACCTGCAATCCCAGAACTCAGGAAGTACAAACAGGAGGTCACCCTCAGCAACATAGGGAGTTTGAGGCCAGTCTAGATTACAAGAAACCTTTTCTCAAAAAAATGCTTTTGAGCATATTCAATTAAAAATCATCAAGGGGCTAGAGAGATGGCTCATCAGTTAAGAGCACTTGCTGCTTGCAGAGGCCCCAGGTTCAGCTCCTAGCACCCACTCTAGGCAACTTACATCTACCTATACATTTACATTTACATTTCCAGGTAATCTGCCACCCTCTTCTGGCCTCTTTGGGCACTGCATGCACGTGGTGCCCATATACCCAAGCACATACCTATGCAATTTAAAAGTAATAAATCTTGTTTTTAATGTTTAAAAATTATTCTATGTGTGTGGGTGTTTTGTTTACATGTATGTCTGTGCAGCACACGCATGCCTGGCCCAAAGAAACCAGAAGAGGGTGTTGGGGTCACTGGAACTGGAGTTACAAATGACTGACTTTAAGCCAATATTTGTTTGCTTGTTTGTTTGTTTTTGAGAAAGAGTTTCATTATATGTCCCTGGCTAGCCTGGAAATGGCTATGTAGGTTTGGTTGGCCTTGAACTCACTCAGTTCTGGGACTGAAAGTGTGCACTGCCATACGTGGCTATAAAATAAATCTTTTTTAAAAACCATTAAAATGAATTGATAAAGTGGAAAATCAGATTTCACATGAGTTAGTGACCCAGCTGATTATGAGGACAGGAGGGTTGAGCCTAATAACTTTGTGTTGACGAGAGTGTATTGTATTGCTTTTCCAGAAGGCTGGGGATGGCCAAAAGTGGTGGGTTGGCAGGAAACTGCATGGAACCAATGACTTTGAAGTGTGCTTCAGGAGCAGATCACACACCAGGGCTATGCTTCTGGTACAAGTGTGAGCCTCTGAGGTCTTTGAGTTTCTGCTCTAGACATATCAGCTGCCCTGAAAGATTCCGTGGTCCTGTTGGGAAGCTGCCTGGTGAGCCCAGCAGTTGGTTACCTGCTAAGTCAACCCACATTGCATAACCAACCTGTGCCAGGTACTATTTTAGGCCCTAGAGATTAACCAAAGACCTCAGAAATAAGATAGATAGGGTGTTAACCCTCATGGAGCTTGTGTTTTAGAAGGAAGAAACAATGAACTTGAATTGGCCAGTGGTAAGTGCTATATTATAAACTAAAACTGATGTAACATAGACTCTGTGGCTACTTTAGGCTTGGAGAGAGCAGAGCCTATATGGGGATGTGACCTGTCAACTGAAAACTACATGATGATAAGGAGCCAGCCTGGGGAAACTAGGGGAGAAGAGCATTCCAGAGAGAGGTGCCCCAAGGGCAGAGGTGTAGGCAGGGGCATACCTGTGTGCATGGAAGTCTATTCCGAAGGTGACTGGCATCTGACCAGGCCAGAGAACCAAAGATGGACCAGATTCCATCAGCTGTGGAATCAGGAGAGGCTTGGGTTTAATTCCAAACACCCTTCTAAGTCTGTGATGGACTTAAGCAGAGAAATGGGGTGGTTTATATTTGAGTGTGTGTGAGCACGCTTGAGCATACCTACGCCTATGCACACAGTTTCACACACACACACCACACACACACACACACACAGGTATATATGGAGGTCAGAGGGTAACCTGATGTCATTCTTAGGTGCTGTCCACCTTGCTTGTTATGGCCAGGACTCTCACTAGCCTGAAGCTCACCAAGTATGCTAGGTTGGCCTGCAAACCTAGGGATCTACCTGTGTCTGCCAGGCAATGGAATTGCAAGCACACGCCACTACACCCAGCTTAACTTTTCATATGAGGGTTCTGGGGATGGAACTCAGGTCCTCATGTTCACACAGCAAATACTTCATCCTCTGGGCCTCCTCCTCAGCCCCCCCCACAGGCTTATGTTTTTAAAAGGTACCATGGACTCCTATGTGGATGGCTTTGAGGAAGCAGGCACAGAAATAGTATGTGGGAGGCTGGTGTCACAGATCAGGCACCCATCTGGGTGGGAGGAGGGTAGGGCTCCAGAGCTGAGAGTCCACCTTCCTGCCATTAGAGCTGGCTCCGTGGGGGAGTTCTGAGTAGGCATGGGAGCCCGTGCGCCCCACCTTCCAGCTGCGGATACTGTTATGTAGCCGTGTACTGCCGGGCTGCATCTGTGGATCCAGCAACATTCTCCTTCCTTTGCAATGCTAATGAGAGCCTGCCTTTTCACACCAACAGATGACTACCTTCCCAGGGGGAAATTGCTTCCTCTGAATCATCCTCTGCACTGTTAAGTGCAGTGCCGATAGGCATTTGCTGGATTGAAGTTTGCAGATGATTCTTACTTGGCGTGTGGGAACTTGAGGAAGGCAAAGGCTGAGCGCAAGAAGTAAGGATTCACTTGCCCTTGGGGAGAACTTTGCAGAAAGATGGACCAGGGCTGTGACCTGCTGCAGACTGCCTCAGCTGGTCAACCTGTGCACCCAGAGATCCCCCTCCAGGCCCAGCTGCAATCTTCTCAAGCCAGAAAAGATGCCATTGTGTAGGATTGTATGCATCTGTTTCCTGCTCCAGACTGAGTGGGTTCTGAGAGCTTTACCCACGTTTACACCACTTCTCAGGAGCATCTGACAGGAAATGGATCAACAGAGGCTAAATGGCTCCTCATTAAATACAGGGATCCTTCTTCCCCATGACTACCCAATAAACCATCCATGAGCTGTCCCCAAAGCAAATCCTGGAAGAGGCCAGCCTATCTCCTTTCTCTAGGTATTCATATCAGCCTGCAGGAGACTGACTGGTGGCCCAGCAGGGCTATTCCAATGTTTAAAGGCAGAGAATATAGCCACAAAGTCACAAGTAAGCTGGATATGGTAGCTCACACATGTAATCCCAGCACTGGGAAGGCAGTGTTGTGGCTGTCTTTTGGAGGCTTTCCTGGGCACATAGCAACCACCAGAGCAACCAAGGCTACAGAGCAGGACTCTTAAAATAGTAAAAGATACAAAGGTCTATCAAAGATCTCCCCAGACAGCATGGTAGGAGCAAAATAGATTTAGAAGACGAAACCACTTTAATTTAGAGGCAAGCTGTTCTAGTTGAATTAAAACAATACAGATTAAGCCCACCTCCCACAAACAATGACAACAGCTCAGTATTGCTTGGTTTTCAGTTTCCCAAGGGAAATGCAACTACAGTCCTTAGTTGCTAATACTTCTGTGTTGCATGTTTGCTTATTCATTAATTTATGCAATGTATATTTACTGACAGCCTAGTAAGTACTAGGCACTGTAGGAGCTAGGGTTACAGCAGTGAACAGAATACATCTCTGTCTTTGGTGATTTGAGAGTCTGGTGGAGAAAGGCAAAAACCCAGCGAACATGAGGAGAGTGTTGGAGATGGACAATGAGTTCGCAGTGGCTATTTTCATTAGGATGAGTTAGTCATTGGAGTCGTGAGTCCAGGCCCATCAAGGACACTGGCTCCTCAAAGTAAGCCTGGCAGCACTGCCCTGGCAAGCTCCTTCACTCACACAGCAAGAACTTAGAGCATTGTGGTGACACACCAGGCTAACCATAGCACCAAGTCACAGGCAAGTCCTGGGACTGGTGCCACCTAGTGGTTGGAAAATGGAGTTGACCTGTGTTTCAGTTAGTTGCCCATACTATTTGCCTGGGAACTTAAATGCCTGAAATTCAAAATAAAATGCTACCAAATTGGGCTCTGAAGGTCAGAGCTGATTGTTGATAAATGATTGACCACATGCTGAACTGATATAGACCACCGAGAGTACTGGTTTAGAATCTCACTCTGCTTGGCCTAATAATTAGTCATTGATTTAGGTGATTTCAAGCTATTCACAATACTGCCACCCCCATACCATCGCTACTCATTTTTTCTTTTACATCCTCCCAGGTTCGGGGCTAGAGTGTTTGGTCTCCAGCTGGTGACTCTATTTTAGGAGGTGGGTTCTCCAGGGAAATGTGCCCTCGAAGGTTTCTCCAGTCCTTTCCTTGCTTGGTGATTCCTGTCTGTCCCGCAGTGAACAGCCTCCTCCTGCTGCACACACTCCCATCACCACGATGTTCTGCCTCACAGTGGGTCAGAGACACAGAGCCAAGTCACTACGGGTGGAGTCCTCTGAAAGTCAGGAGCAAAATGATCCCTCCCTCCTTTAAGTTGCTGTGATGGCTGTTCTTGGTTGTCAGCTTGACCACATCTGGAATTAACTAAAACCCAGTGTTGTAGGAATTTAGCAGAGTCACTGTTATAGCAGGAATTCTAGTTGGTATTAATAAAACCCCAGGGATAGATATTGGGGTTAAAGCTAAAGATCAGAGAAGCAAAGCGGCCAGCCACTAGAGAGTTCTCACCTCTACCAATGCTCAGACCCAAGAGGCAATCCTGTCTTCAGACTGCATCTCCAGACTGCATCTGTCTCCACCAAACCTCACACTGCACTGAGCTCCTGTCTCCTCCCACCTTATATTCCTCTCTAGTGCTGGGATTAAAGGAGTGAGATCCCAAGTGCGGAGATCACCTTTGTGTGAGTTCTGTTTTTTTTTTTTTTTAGACTAGATCAATTTCATGTAGCTCAGTGTGGCCTTGAATTAACAGAGACTTGTTTGCCTCTGTCTCCCCAGTGCTGGGATTGAAGCTGTGTGCCACCACTGCCTGGCTTCTATGACTGACTACTGTGGCTAGCTGTGCACTCTGATCTTAAGCTTTATTTGTTAGCTCATAAACAAAATATCACCACACACTTTATATGGGGTAGACAGTAGAATGAGTAGTTGTTTTCTAGAAGTACTTGGCCTTGAAGAATCATTGTGGTAAACAGTAAAGAATCTTTGTGGAAAACAGTGATTTTTCTCCTGTGATTTTAGAATTGTTTTTCTGAAGAGGTGTTGCAGCCTTAGAATGACTTTGGTCACAAGACACTTCCTGCACACATGAGGCTCTTGGATTATTGTGTATTGCAAACAATACACAATAAAGGGGTAAACTCATGAGAGTAGGTGATGCTTTCCTTTAGAGAGACATATAGACTAGACACAATCTTGCTAAGAGAAAATACTTTACCCAAAAAACAGCTTTGTGTAACAATCAGTAAATATGCCTTTGTACATCTGTTTGAATTCAGTTCAGCTTATCAGAGGCTGAACCTTCCTGCTGTCATACAGGCCTTAAACTTCATCTTAGAAGTGTAACCAACCCATACACAACACAGAACACCCTGACACCCAAGCAGCTGGACACATCTGTGAGGGGCTTTTTCTTAATTAAACCATGTGAAGTGGGAAGACCCAGCTTGATCCCAGATCTTTGGAGGTGGGAATATCCGCCTTTGACCTAGGCCACACTTTGCCTGTCAGCCTAAATGAGGACATGGAAGAAGGAGGTTTGCTCTCTGCCTGCTTGCCCTTATTCTTGTCAGCAAGTCCACTCTGATATTTGAGCCCACTTCTTCAGTATTCCAGCGTATACTGAAGGCCAGCAGAGACAACTGAACAACTACTGGATCCTTGGGCCCTCTATTGGTAGATGACCATTGTTGAACCACAGCCTGTAAGCCATTCTAATAAATCCCGTCTGTCTGTCTGTCTGTCTGTCTGTCTGTCTGTCTGTCTGTCTACACACACACACACACTCTGACTTCCTTGGGAAGTTGATCCCAGCAATTAAAAGTCTGACTAATATTCCCTACAAAATTCCTGAAGCAGAAACACAAATTTAGCTGAAATCTGAGCTTTGATGTTGACTTTGCCTTGTAACCTGATTGGAAGTTGAAAAATTGAATAGTTACTGAGCAGAAACTGGAACTGATGCCACAGGAGGGGCAGTCATGTGTGACATCCTACACACAGCAGAAGAGCATGGTGGAGACAAGGAGAGCTTTGGTGACCCTGGCCATGCCTGCTGTCTCCGTGGTCTCATGTGTGATAACCACTTTATCACAGGCACAAGTGCTGATGCAGCTGGTTTGTGTGACTGGGTACAAAATGGAGGACAACGTAGTAAGACGCTGCTGGTGGCAGAGAGCCAACCAGAATGGTGATTCCAAGTGACTTAGCTTGAGGAAGGCAGCTTTGAGCAGCTGTGCCACACGTGGGTATGAGAGTAGGAAGCCGACAAACCTTCAGTCAGGACTTCCTATGAGGAACTAGGGCGACTAAAGACACCTCTCACCCAGCAGCAGCCCTCCTAGGGTGTTTTTCCGAGAATCTGTCCTGTCTGCTGGTCACGTTCTTTCTCCAAGGCTTAACTTTCATCATGTTCACCCTCGACTCCCAACGTGTCCTCTGATGCTCCTGGATTGCTAGTCCAGTTAGACTCATCACTTGTTCGGCCTTGTGCAAGTGACTTAGGTCAGCAAGATGGGGACTGAGTGTGGCTCCCCAGCCCCTATATAAAAAGCTAGGCATGGGAGCTGGGAGAGAATATGCCTATAATCCCGTAGCTGGGAAGTAGAGACAGGAGGATTCCTGGGGCTTGCTGGCCAGTCAGTTTAGCCAATCAGTCACTCCAGGTTCAGTGAGAAAAAGCAAGAGAGGAAGACACCCCTCATCAGTTTCTGGTCTACACACACACACACACACACACACACACACAGACTAGCGTGTGCACGCACCGGGGGGGCAGAGGCAGAGAGACACACACACACAGACTATACACAAAAAGTAGAAACAACTCAAATGCTCATCAGTGGTGAATAGCGAAATAAAAATGAGACATGTCTACACAATGGATTATATTTTGGTCACAAAAAACCACTGGTATGTTACAAAATAGATGAATTATGGAAACATTATACTGATTAAAAGAGGCTAGTCACTTTAAAGGACCAATCATTGCGTGGTTCCAGATATATGAAATATCCAGAATAGGTAAATCCATGAAGACAGAAAGTAGACTACAGGTTATCTAGGGCAGGTAATTTGGGAGACAATGTGGGATGATCAATAATGGGTATGGAGTTTCTTTGGGGGGTGATTGTGATACAGCTCTGTTAATATATTGGACACACCTCTCTGTGCATCTGTGAGGATGTGGGTGGCACTATCCCATAGAGGGGGGTCCTGAACTGAATAAAAAGGAAGGCATGAGAAAGTAAGCTGAGTACCAGCTTTCATTTCCCTGCCTCCTGGGCTTCCAGGATGTAAGGAGGCCCTGCTGCATGCTCCTGCCACTGCAAACCCAGCCATGTTTTCCCTGCCGAGGCGACTGTGCCCTCACAAACCATGAGCCAAAATAAACCTTTCTCCCTTAAATGGCCTTTTTGAGAATTTAGTCACAGCATAGAGTAATGGACAGAGGGGATTGTGTTCTTTGTGTCAAAGGCATGAGGGACAGAGAAAGCTGTGGAAACATCAAGATTAAAGAGGCTGAAGAGACATGATCCCGGGTGGCCCCTGTACTAGAGGAAAATGTTATAAAGAACTTTACTACTTCAACAGAGAAAACTGGAACATGAATAATTTAGATAAAAATATTATATCAATGTAAATTTATGAAGTTTATCTCTGTAGTGTGGTTATGTAAGAGAAAAGCCCCTCCTTTCTCTTTTCTAGTTTTAGAGATACAGACTCACTAATCTTGAGCTTTCTGTGTGGCCCAGGTTGACCCCTAACGCATTCTCATTCCCCCCCCATCAGTCTCTGTCTCCCTCTCTCTCTCTGTCTCTGTCTCTGTCTCTCTCTGTCTCTCTCTCCCCTTCTGTCTCTCTCTCTTTCTCTCCAGGGCCTCACTCACTATATAGCTCTACCTGTCTTGGAACTCACTCTATAAACCATGGTGGCCTTGAACTCACAGAGATCTTTCTACCTGCCTCTGACTCCTGAGTGCTGGTATCAAAGGCATGTGCCACCACCCCAGGGTTGGCCTGTAACTCAAAATCCTCCTATTTTAGCCTCCCAAGTATGAGGTTGACTACAGGTGTACATCAGAATACTTGTATTTTTGGTAAATGCATAATAATGGAGTTAGTGGTAAAAGGTCATATTTTATGTAATTTGTCCTGAAATCTTTCAAGAAAAAAGGTTTGTGTGTAATAAAATTTTAGTGTCAGGTAACCTGGGGAAAGGGCATTCAGGTATTTTGTAGCAGTTTATGCTTGTGACTTGAAAATTTGGAATTGTTTATAAAACTTTTTTTGAGTAGCCAGGAACAGGTCTAGAAATGCAGTAGAGTACTTACTTGCCTAGCATTTTCAATGCCCTTGGAGCAGACCCTAGAATAAGAGGGGGCGAAAGATTAGTTAGGAAGGATCTTTTTCCTCTCTGGGCAATACAGAACTGAGCATGAAAGTAGGTCAGAGTGAATTCTCTCTCTCTCTCTCTCTCTCTCTCTCTCTCTCTCTCTCTCTCTCTCTCTCTGTCTCTGTGTGTGTGTGTGAGTGTGTGTATGTGTGTGTGTGTGCACAGCTACATTTCTAGGAGTCTACTTGTGATGCACACAGTACTTCATCTTTCTGCTCTTTGCCCCCAGACCCTGTGGCCTGCCACCATCTTTCCCTGGCAGCATGCTGAAAGGAGGGAGGTGGACCCTGAGGTGCTTCTGAGGTGGGTCTGATTGCGGGTCTGGCAGGTCATGCTTAGGATTCACTAGATTCTGAGAGGTCTGTGGTTATCATAGGTCTCCTTTCTCACTGTATTGTTTGCTCCACCTCAGGAGAGTCACTCATTTTGTGTCTGGGTTCTGTGTGTTGAAGATGGGGAGGAAAAGGAATTGGCCCACTCTTGGCCAGACCTCAGTGCTCTACAAAACTACACAGACCTCTACAAATGTGTCAATTGAGGCCTAAACTCTTCTGCAGCATGGCCAAGGTTCCACAACAAGCAGGGGCAGAACAGAACTTAAAGCCAAGCCTAGACCCCTCACTTCCTGACCTTCCAAATGGACCATGGACCATTGCCTCTGATGCTAAGGCCTCTCTCTCTCTCTCTCTCTATCTCTCTCTCTTTCTCTCTCTCTGTCTCTATCTCGCTCGCTCTGTCTCTCTCTCTCTCTTCTTGCTGTCTGTCTGATGTGAGATCAAAATCTGCCCTCATACCAGGAAATGAAACCAAATCATTGCTGACAGGAACAGATCCAAAGAGGATCAGATGACTTTGGAAGGCAGCCGCAGGGCTGCCATCAGCTCGGGATTTTGACTGTGTGGTGATGCTCAGAATGTCTCTGAGGCCGGGGTGGAGGGGATGATTATCTCTGCTTTAACACACCAAAGTAGAAAAGGTCTCTAAGGCTGGAGCCAAGATTTGGGTGCTCCGTAGCCAGACATCCCGGCACACACCTGGTACCTACAGAGGACTCTGCCTGCCACAGGGAGTCACAAGAGTAGTAGGGACACCCAGGAGGAATAATTGCTCTGTTCCTAGCTCTAAGGATGGCCCTGGTGAGGTTAAGAGTGCTCCAGGGAGTGGGAAAGAGGCTCCCTGGCTTCCCAACCTCAGCTCTCATCCTGTATTCCATTCTCAAAGGTTTCTTTGTCGTCTGAAGAGTCAAAGAGGCTTTCTGGAAGAAGAGATTGTAAGTCAGGAACTGCTGACAACTAAAACAGGAACCACCTGCATGGTCACACAGCAGCTCAGGAGAAAGCAGGGCTGAAATGGATAATACCATGTAGTCCCCAGATCCAACCATGCCTGAGGCCCTTGTGTCTTTTAATGGCAGGAACAAAAAACAAATCTGAGTTTTTGTTTCAGAAAGTTACAATTTTTTTCACCATAAAAATAACATAAGGCTGGGTGGTGGTGGTGCACACCTTTAATCCCAGCACTCAGGAGGCAGAGGGAGGTGGATCTCAGTGAGTTCAAGGCCAGCCTGGTTTACAAAGTGAGATCTAGGACAGTCAGGACTGTTACACAGAGAACTCCTGTCTTGAAAAACCAGAGAGAGACAGAGACAGAGAAGAGAGATATAAAAGGTGGGTTGGAGAGTAGTTAAGAGCACTAGCTGTTCTCCTAGAGGAGCTGAGTCCAATTCCTGGCACCCACACAACACATCATAATCCTCTGTAATCCCAGCTCCCAGAAGATCTGTCACCGTTTTCTGGCCTCCTCAGGCACTTCATGCATGTGGTACATAGATATACATGCAGGCACAACATCTATTCACAAGATAAAAATAAATCTTTTAAAGAGAATGAACATGAAAACATCTTAACTGAAACAGTCCTGGCCCGTTTCCTGTGAGTTTAAAGTACAGATCCTCTGCAACAGCCAAGGTGGGGTGCAGAGAACTTTAGAGGGGAGCTCCCTAACATGGTGCCTTCGTTGGGGTTACTATTGCTATGATGAAACACCATGACCGAAAGCAAGGAAGTCGAGGAGGATGGGTTTACTTGGCTCACACTTCCACATCATAGTCCGTCTCTGAAGGAAGTCAGGACAGGACAGAAACTCAAGCAGGGTTGGAACCAGAAGGCAGAAGCTGATGCAGAGGCCATGGAGAAGTGCTGCTTAATGGCTTGCTCCTCATGGCTTGCTCAGCCTGCTTTCTTATAGAACCCAGGACCACCAGCCCAGAGACGGCAGCACCCACCATGGGCTGAGCCTTCCCACATCAATCACTGATTAAGAAAATGCCTTACAGCAGCATTGTGAGGGCATTTTGTCATTGAGGTTCCCTCCTTTCCAGTGATTCCAGCTTGTGACAAGTTGACATAAACTACCCTGCACACATGGGAAGCCCAGAATCTGGAGACACTGGGAGAAGAGAGCTAGCCAGTCCCTCCTTCAAGAGGTCTCAGACCTGAAGGTGAACAAAGATTCTCAGGTCTGATTTGTGTGCCTGAAGTTTTATAAGGAGCATTTGTCAGACCAACTCACATCACAGCAGCCTATGGGTTTTCTTGAGGTTGCCCCAAATTAGTGATAATAGCTCCCTTCTGCTGGGCTCTCAAAACAAGCCGATGTGTTATTTGGATAATTTCACCTAATCCTCACAGCAGCCTTGACAGGTAGAGATGACACTAGCACCATTTTCTAGGCACTATTCCATAGAGTCCAGAGAATGAGTGAGTTTATTAAGTTTAGAACAAGTCAAGATAAAAGAACAAATAGGAGACAGGCAGAAAAAGCATCACCAAATTGTGCACTCAAAACATCCAGCGGAAATGGACTTTGAGGCAATCAGTTGGAGATGTTGATAGAGTCCAGGATGAGTCCATTTGGATGAGGTTTCTGAGCAAAGTAACAAAAACCAGCAAACTCAGGGCTTACAACATCTAGCAGGAACTGACTGTGGGTGTTGAGGCAGTCAGCTGGAGTTCCCACAGAGCTTTGTCAATGAACAAACCTTCTGCAGATGAGCTTCTGGCTTCTCTTTTTCACTGTTGGCTCTTCCATACCACTCGATAAACAATAGAAGCATCTTCAGGAAATCACTTACCGTCCAACAGTTCTCAAGGACACAGTGTTTCTACTCTGGGGCCATTCTTCGTTTTGTTTTTACTCTGGGGCTGTTCTTCCTCCCTCTTTGTCACAGACTTGGGGGTGAGCAAATTATCTCCAGATAAGAGGCTCTGGAGGCCACTTTGAGACAAATAGACTTGTTCTGAAGGAGTGCTTCCAAAGTCAGCTTCTTGGTGGGCTCAAACACATGAGATGCTACCAGTACATTGAAGATACCAAATTCTCATAGTCAGGAAGTCACATAGCTCATTAGTGACAGAGCAAAGTATATCATATCCCCAAACCAGTGCTTTTAACCACTCTGGGTTATCCATGGTCTAGAGCTTTGGCTAGAAGAAGAAATAATATCAACCTTCCTTATTGGGGCAGTCATCAGAGTTTATAATGCAAAATTGAATATGCAATATCACTAAATCATTTTGTACACAAGGAAACAGACTCAGAAGTAGGAAAATGACTTGATTGGACATTTGGGAACTGAATACATCACCCAGAAGTGAGCCTTCTCAACCTAAGGGTCTAGGCAGTAGTCTGCAGAAACTCGGCATGTGTGCTGGCATGGAGGGAGCAAGCCCCATCATGTACACCATGCAGGAAAATAGCGATGGACTCAGTCTGGTAAGGAAGGTCTTTAAGGTCTTTAAGAGGTAAAGGGATCACTGGGTACCACAGATCCAGTTGCAGAACACAAACCCCACTACAACAGTGAGCTCTGAATTCACACAAAGGTTCCCAGCTCCAGCCAGGGCCCATTGATTTTTCAGCAACACTTGATATGTCCAAATTGCAGTTTAACCAGACGGACTCTGCTTCCTAGTGTTCCCAGGGGAGTCTAACGATGACAAGAGCCCCTTTCTTCTGTGAGAACATCCCCAGCAATAAAAGGCTGCAAGACTGAGCTGAACTGCCTCAAGAATCTCAACTCCTTCCCCAGAACATCTATCAGCCTGGTTTCTCTCCTGAGGGTCCCAATCCAAACTGCATGGACCCTCTGTGCTGGGCTGTTCTGACACCCTGCCAAGCTCAGAGGCACCTGTCCTAGAGAGACAAGGCACGGCTGTCTTTCATAAATCCCTAGCTGACCCACTGGAGGAGCAACCAAGCAGGGACCCAAACAGCAGGACAAAGGAACCAGGGCAACCACTGTGGAAGGGTGCCAGAGGAATGGAAGATGAGTCCCACCAGCTCTCTGCATGTGGAAAAGTCCCCTGTCCTGGGGCTTCCTGGAAGCTAGGTGAGCTGCCTTTTAGATTTGTTTTCCTGCAAGCAGTCTGTGTGCTACAAAAACTAGGGCAGGCGTTGAAGGGAGGAGGGCATGGAGAAATAAGCTTCTCCATGAGGTCAAGGCTAGCCATCCCAGGTCTGGGAAGGCCAGGACAGGTTAGATCCCACAGCTCTGTTTCTTGTTTTCTTGAACACAACCTTAATGTTTTGCCATGCCTATACTAATGTTTATTGATAACCTTCTGGGTACTGGGGATTTGATGCTAAACAATTAGGAGACATCCTCTGAAAGAAGCAAAAATTGAACTGAGGTCTAGAAGAGGCACAGATCACTGAAGAGGGCGAGAGGGGACATCCCACTCAGAGGGCACTCCAAAGGCAAGCAACTTGGCAACAGGGAGAGAGACTTCTCCACATCACCGGGAGAAAACTCATGGGGCCGCAGAGCAGAATGCAACCACAAGAGAGGGTGTGTGGGTCTTTCCGCCAAGAGCAGATGCCTTTGGGGTGCTCTCAACAGGTCTGTGGGCGATGGTACTTGGGGAATACTTTGGCAGCATCGGGAGCAATGGAGCGGAAGGATTCGGGGACATTCTGGAGGCAGATTGGGTGGTTTGGGCATTTGCCTGTATAAAGAGAAGAGTGATGCTATCTCATAGCTGCTGTCCTTCACTAAGACACTGCTTTGTAAGTGTTCATTCTAGTATCTAGCTGGCAACCAGAAGAGCTCAGGAAGTGTCATTATTGTGACTTAAAGTGCTCTCAGGGTGCAGAACTTTCTGGTTCATACCTGCTTCTGAGAGGTGGAGAGAAATGAGGTGATTTCCCAAACGTAGACAAATGATTTGTATTAAGGCATATGTCAAAACTCCAACCCAGAAGGAACAGAACATTTCTTTTAGAATGGCTAGAAAGTATGAATGAGTCTCAAAGAAAAACAGCTTTTAATTTGCCCCCAAGGATGCATTCCGCTTCCATCTAGTGTTTGCAGAGAAAAATAGGTGCTTTCTTGGTGTTCCTAAGAGCAGGTGTACTCCTGGGCAGGTGGGGGTTTCAGACCAGACCTGCCCCCCCATCTCTGGTGCTAGGCTCCGGAACAGAGGGTACCAAGGGGCGGAGGGTCCTCGGAAGGCCCCATCCAGCCCATCCTCCTGCCCCCCTCCTCGTCACGTGGCCCTGTGGGTGAGGACCGACCTGAAGTTGGAGGAATCCAGAGCTCTCCCAACTTCGGAGCACAAAGGCACGAGAAGCTGAGCATGGCTCAGTTGTCAGTGATCCCTGGATCGGCCTCCTCGGCGTGGACAGGTGAGCTGAGAGTCTGAGGGCGGCGGCTAGGGCGGGAAGAGGCTGCTCGAGTACAGGGCATGCAGGGCAACCCACGCAGGGGAGGGGACAATTATGTGAAGCGGCCCCGCCGGACACTCGGCGTCCCGGGGTCAGTTGGTCCACCGCGGGCTGCTCCTGGCTGGCTTTTTCCTCAGAGTGGGTGATGGAGTGGAAGTAGATGATTGACGCCCCCCACCCTCCAACAACGGCGCACCAGAGGGCGGGGCGCTGTGCCGGCCACGCCCTCTCCCTCGCGCACTGGCCGCTCCCCGTGACGTCACGCTCGGCTATAAAAGGCGCGGGAGCAAGGCTCCCGCGGCGCTGTCAAGGAGCTCGAAGCGGAGGGTGCTCGGGACGGGGAGACCCGGCCGCCGGGCCGCGGGCGCCTCAGCGATGTTTTACTCAGGACTCCTCACCGAGGGCGGCCGCAAGGAGACCGACATGCGGGAAGCGGCGTCCCTGCGACAGCAGCGCCGGATGAAGCAGGCGGTGCAGTTCATCCACAAGGACTCCGCCGACCTGCTGCCCCTGGACGGCCTCAAAAAGCTGGGCTCGTCCAAGGACACGGTGAGCTCCCCACCCTCGGCCACGCCTGCCTCCGGCCTCCCTCCGGCCGGGCCGCCGCTGTCGCCCTAGCCCTCGCTGCCGCTTTCACTGAGTCACCGGCCAGGCCTGTGGCTGTCCGCTCCCTGGCGGTGCTCGGCAGAGACCCTCCCTATCTCTCATCCCTGGGGACCTCTTAGCTTTCCTCGTCTCTCGTGGCAGCCTCCTCCCGGGAGCCTGGCTTTCTCCTCCCCAGTACAAGGAAGAAAGACACCCTGCCCTGCCCTATTGCCCTCAGATTTCCTTTCCTCCCGCTTATTCGAATCTCGGATTTGGCTCGCGGGGCTGGAACCTCACAGCGAAGTCTCAGCTCCCACTGCCTCCTCGCAGGCTGCGTGGCCAGTCCCGTGTCCCAGACAGAGGTGACTCGTAGTGGGTGATTGAGAATCAGTGGAACGCGAGGTTTCGTGACAGTTGCTGAATCTAGATGACTTTGGTTGTTTCTATTGCGCCCGGCTCCCTGCCGCCCCAAATCTATTTAGTTTAGTTTGGGACTTAATCTACCTTTGATTTCCTACCCTGAGTAGGGGTGGGGCAGGCAAGGAAGGGGGGGGTTGAGCTTGAATATTCCCAGAACCTGAACATCTCATCACTCTCATCTCTCCCTCTTCTTCCGTCCTCCCTCTAAGGAGTGCATGGTGGGAGGAAGCACTGGGTGCTCCGTCTTCCAGACCAGATAATGCATGTACATAGTTGGAGCTGGGGTTGGTGCAGTCTTCTTATTTCTGGCAAGATTATTCTTGGTATTAAGTAGAAGTCCAGGATGTGGGCCAGAATCCAAAACCATATTGTCCTCCATCTATTGAATAAGGATGAATGGCTGAGGGATATGACCTATATTTAATTCTCATCCCTTTCTCACAAATTTATATCTAACTCTGGAGTTTCATCTGGAGTTTGCTTGTACCTTGATTTTTTTTTTTAATGAGACAGCAAGGTCTTGCTATATGTATAAAACCTATGCTGACTTGGCCTTCAGTGCACAGCCCAAGTTGGTCTCTAATTCTGGATCCTCCTGCCTCAGCCCCATGGTGTAGGCATGCATCACCACCCAACTTTGATTGTTTTCTTGTATCTATAATTTCCTTATTATCTGCAGAGAAATTTGTGAAATATTGTCTTTTGCAGAAATAAACGCTCTAGATAATCTTTCTAGTATTTTTATATTTTGAGCATCTGAAATGCTTAATTTTGAATGTGGTTATTGGCCCTGGATCACTTAAATTGCTATTTCTGGCCCCAGTATGGCAATGAAGGCTAGTGTTTCAGCTTTTTTTTTAAATAGTTCTAATGATTCATCAATACCAAAGATTTTCCCTCCCTATCATTAGATACTCTCACCAAGGAAAAGAGCTACTCTTACTCTGTTTTTTAAAAGCTGTTTTCCAGCTTGAGCCTGGGTATAGTTGATCTAGTCATGCTAACCCAGAGTGATGAGTGATGTTAATCCTATCAAGGAGATAACTCTTTCTTGCCTTCTTTCACTTTAAAGCATTCATGATTCATTTGGTCAGTCTGAATCTTCTCTCCTTCAGACCAAAGTAATCCTATTCAATAAGGTGGGAGGTATTATGAAAAGAATTAAAATGTGATGTTTAAAATGTTGGATTTAAGGTATAGATGTTTGGTTTCCCTGGGTGGCTAAGGAGCTCCTTGATGAGAAATCACAACACCCTTCTTCCTAAGATTCCTCATAGGACTTCGTGTATGTAAGGGTAGTTCTGTTCTGACTCCCTTTGTCACAGCATAGAGCACAGCTGAAGGCTACAAAGAGGCAGCTTTCAGGGTATAGCCAGGGTATGACACACAGCAGTGACTGTGAAACCCTGAACCATGTTTCACACTTTCTGTACTCCATTTTCATAGCTAATCTCTCTCGATCACTGTTCTCACACCTTTAATGAGCAAGTTACTGAAGGAGGAACCAGAACACATCACAGAAGCCAAGGCTGACTGAAGGAGGGCAGGGATCACAGAAGCCCAGGCTGACTGAAGGAGGGCAGGGAGAGTCGCAAGTGCTGGGGTGAAACAGCATCCGTGGAACTGATGTTGCAGCCTCAGCACAGTCTCAGAAAGGATTTTAGAAACACTCTTATCAACTTATTTGCAGACAAATAGATCATCCTGACTCCATTTTCTCCCTTGATGTGACATTTGGAGGGTATTAAAATTAACTGTAGTTTTTTATTTGAGGTAGTTTATAAACAACCCCAATAGAAAGGGAACAAAAAGGGACACAAAAGGATACAAGTTTAGCTTTTATTGACTCAGGGACTTGAGCAGTGTTAAGACTGTGAACTATTTTTCATCATACAAGTATGTTTTAATTATGCTGTTGACTTTTCTGAATTATCTACTTGTATTACGCTGTTTCTGTAATGTTTACAGTTTGATATTAATATTTTTGTTTTGGCAGAAAGATGGTCATGTTCTCTTGGCCCCAGCATAGTGCCTTTACCCAATTCCTTTGTGTGTGGAGTTGGCTGATACAAAGTCTACTGTGGAAATTAATCATATTTCTTATAGCTGGCTCATTTATTTTGTAGTTTTATTGTATTGGGATTTTTGTATTAAATTAAGAAGTAAAATCATATTTACAAGCCATATTATATTTGACTTTTAAAAAAACTGATAGAACCAGGCATTGGTAGTGCATGCCTTTAATTCCAGTACTTGGGAGTCAGAAGCAGGCAGATCTCTAAAGCAAGTTTCAGGACAACCAGGGTTACAAAGAGAAACCCTGTCTGGAAAAGCCAAACCAACCAAACAAAACAAAATCCTGACAGACTAGCTAGACAAAAGTAGCCTTATTCTTGGAGTTTTGACTGTTGTAATTTTTCTTGTTTGGTTACCAGGTTAATAAAAGTTCTTTTTTTTTTTGTACTAAAGGCTTTACTTTCTGAAAGCAGTTATATCATGTGATGATATGCTGGGTTTCTTATATGATGTCATTACTGGCATATCTGGCTATATCCTTCCTTACTTAGTAGCAGAGGAAGAAATTTTCTTTCCTTCCTGTTTGAGCCTGCATACAGCCCAAAACTTTAGCCAACCTAACTAGAATTAAGGCCAGGAGAGGGATATTAGAACACAGAGAGTAGGAAACTGACCATTAAATACCTGTGAACAAATCTCTGTCAAATAGAGCAACTCAGCCTGGTGCCCTATAGATTAGACACCTATAATGCTACAAGTCAAAAATTAGAGAACTTTGTAGCCTTAGAAAAGGGTTAAATGCCAATATAATACCAGCCTTTGGAAGGGGATTGTGATGGGATGGGGAGAGTAGTAGAAGTTGGGGGTGGATACAGTCAAGAGACACTGTACATACGCATGCAATTGTCAAATAAAACGCTGTTTTAAAGGAATTACTTTTATGGAGATATTGAAGGAAATAAGGGAATAAAATATGTCAGGAAAGAACATTCTGGGAAAAAGACACAGCAGTTGCAATAGTTTGGCCATCAGGATGCTTCACAGAATTAGAGAACGGAGAGAGGGCCAGTGCAGCTAGAGGAAAATGAACAAGGAGTGTGGTGACAGGAGGTAAGACAGCAACAGACAAGCAATGGAAGACTAGGTCTGGTTTTTTCAGTGTTGAGGATTGAACCAGAACCTTGCACATGTGAGATAAGGATTCTACTACTAAACTACATCCCCAGCCTCTGACATACATTTACAAAAACTTACTGTGGCTATGCAGAGAATGAACTGAAGCATAAAAATCAAAACACACGTTAGGAGGCTATTGCATTATAGACAGAAAAGTAGTAGCTTGGCTAGATTGGAGGTAGTAAAGACGAGAAACGGGTGTGGCTTAGAGGAAGGAGCAACAGCACTTGGAAGGAAGAACAGGAAAAGAATCAAGAGTGTATATGATGCCAGAGAGATAGCTCAGCACTTAAGAAAATTTGTGACTAACTGGGGTGCAATTCCCAGCACCTACATGGTGGCTCATAACCTTCAGTAACTCCATTTCCATGAGATCTAACTCATCCCCTTTTGAACTTCCTGGGTGCAAAGATATTCATGCAGGAACAACACCCATACACATAAAATAAAATAGAAAAAAGAATGTGTATGAGTTGGGTATACTGCCTATAGTCTATCTAAGACTAGACTGGGCAACATAGTGAGACTCATCTCAAAAATTAATTAAACATAACCAAAACAAGTAGATGGTTATGCCATTTGCTAAGGTTGGCAGGAAGAAGTAATTGACCGAATGTGGAGCTCAAATCTCATTTATTACTGTTAAAGAAAGCAAAATTTGGGTCTGGAGAGATGGCTCAGCAGTTAAAAACACTGGTTGCTTTTCCAGAGGACCCAGATTCAAATCCCAGCACCCACAAGGCAGCTCACAACTGCCTATACCTCCAGTTCCGGGGGATCTGACACCCTCACGCAGGCATACATGCAGGTAAAGCACCAATGCATATAAAATAAAAATAAACAAATCTTAAAAAAGAAAAGAAAAGCCGGGCGTTGGTGGTGCATGCCTTTAATCCCAGCACTCGGGAGGCAGAGGCAGGCGGATCTTTGTGAGTTCGAGACCAGCCTGGTCTACAAGAGCGAGTTCCAGGACAGCCTCCAAAGCCACAGAGAAACCCTGTCTCGAAAAACAAACAAAAAAGAAAAGAAAAAAGGAAAGCAAGGCTTGGTGAGATTGGTGATTTGCCCGAGGAAATATTTGACAAGTGGTGACTTACTAAAATTAGAAAGCTTTCATGCAGAGATAATTAAATAGATGAGATTGGGAAGGGGGATGCGTGGTAGCTAGTAGATCTTGGATGCTAAATTGAGAATTTTTGTTTGATCTAGCCAGAAAGAGCACCATTGTAAGGGTAAGAGATGAAGGTAATGCTTTAGGTTTACAGTTGCTTAAATTTAGCAGTAGAAATAAAGAGTAATATATAAGGAGGCAGAATTCAATTCACCAAGATAGGGGATAGAAAAGAAAAAAG